AGAACATATACTTTGTTGCAAGAATACGATATTTTCCATTTGCAATAAAGTGAGGCTATTTTAGATGTGCAGAAAAGGCTTATCCACATTATAAATCATCTCATTGAACTTGTAAAGATTTTAAGAAGGAATATACTATTCAAATAAAAGTAATTGCCCCAATGAGTCTTTCATCTTTGTGTTTTTGCAAGATGAGATATCAAAAGCTAAAATTAAATAGATTTTTGACCAAAATTTAATTACAAAAGGAAGAAAGGAATAATACTAAAAAACGATTGTATAGCAAGAAGAATCACTTGGGGAAACCTTTAAGATGGAAGTGACTCAAAAAAAATTGTCCCATTTACTTAAAAAGTTCGAAAGATATTTTGAAAGCAAGAATAAAAATAAAAACTTCACACAATCAAAGTACTTTCAAAAAAGAAAAAAATGATTATAATCCTCATAATTTCATTTGTTTTGGTTGTGGTGAATAAGGACGCACAAGGATTCATTGTCCAAATACAAAAAAAAAAATGAGAGATTTAAAAACAAGAAAAACATAATAAAAAAGCTTGTGTAGCATAGGATGACAATAATGCATCTTATCAAGTGGTTATTTCAAAGTTAATGAAGGAGTTAACTTGTGTCTCATGATTGATCGTGAAACTTCTAACTATATGAGTAATTTTGAATTTGAAATTGACTCTAGTTATACCAACTCTTATATGCATTTAATGAAATACATCACGAGTAAAATAAGTTGTCATATTCAAATAATATACTACTAGAAGGTGTAAACATGAAAGTGGATTAATTTAGAAATTGAAAAAATCAAAATCTAATTATGAAGTATTAAAAATTATTTACACAAGTTTTTCATGTATTCTGCTTCTACTTCTCAATGTGCATTTTCAAATGTGAAATCGTAAGGTTTTGAGAGATGAAATTCAGTTTTTTTTTTAATGAAAACGCTTTCAGAATTCACAAATGAAAGAGTTAATTTGGATGCAATTTTACTCCTCAAATGTGTTTTTGAATAGAATTGAAATATGGTATAGGATTATTTTTCATAAGAATAAGAAATGTCTAACAAAAATCTTTTTTTTGTTTGTTTTAGAAAGCCTTCCGACACACCTTTCATTATATGTTATTACCCTTTGAACAATGGTCATACTTTTGAATTTTAGTTGGCATTCATGATACTATGTTTTTTAGAGACCAAAAGAATATGAAACGTAAATGCTACTCCTAGAATATTATATGCCAAATAAAAAAAAAATTGAATTAAAAAATAAAGAGGAAAATTCAAATTCTAAATCAAAATGAAATCTTACGACATTTCTCCATGGCAAAATATATGAGACTTTCTAGAGCACATACATTTCACAAAGTTTTGGAGTCCAAATAAAGTCAAATTTCAACTAACAATTACTATTTACAACCGAAAGTAAACGTAAAAGAAAAAATAAACCCTAACTTTTACATAATTAAAAATAAAAAAACAAAAAAGAATTTTGTCCGTTAATGATGTTTTAGTCCATGTAAAATTGAAACTCATCCATTTTTCAACTTTGATACATTTTAATTTCTAAACTATATAAATCAACGAAGATAGTTTTCTTAATCTAATAACGCTAATTTTATTGAACATATTAAATAATGTTTTAGAGTTAGAACACGTCAAAATAATATAAACAATCCAGACGTCATTCTAAAATGTATTTGATAAGTAAAACAAAATTAATGCAATTGAGATAGAATAACTATATACATTAATTTTTAAAATTTAGAAACAAAAAATATATTAAAGATAGATTAGGAAATGAAAAAGATATTTAATATTTTATTAATGAATAAAAATATTTTATCTATTTAGATACATGAGTTGATGAGTTTGTATCCTTTCTCTTCCTTTTTTAGTAATTAACCAAGACTCATCTACTACTTCCGTATTTATGAGATACGTAAAATCTACAAGAAAAATTACTCAAATACGGGAAACAAATAGAGTTATAGTAACATTAAAAAAATGTGGACGTAGTAGACTCTTAAAATATAGAATTAACTATAAATAAAAATATCATTTTTATATAAATTTATATATGTGAACTATTAGAACTTAAAAAATATACATAAAAAAGTTGTTTGAATTCTTGTATAGATTTCAAATTCACATTGGTGTGTTGAGTTCATAAGAAGTAGGGGTGCGTATGGATTAAATCCAATTTAAATCTAAATTATATCTTTTAAGCAACTAATTTGAAATTTTGTAGATCCAAATCTAAATAATTGGATTGAAATTATATTTAAATATGTATTTTCAAAGAAAATAATTTAGATGTTTATAAATCAGTCTAGTATCAATTATAAAAAGATAATGATACTTTCATAACATTTTTTTGACAATATTTTAACATCATCTACGTGTCATTCTTTGATTGGTTCAAAATTACTTCACAATCAATAATAATAATAATAATAATAAACACCAATATAGACCAATCACAAAATGACACGTAAGTGTTAAAATTTGTTAAAAGAATGTTGTTAAAGTATCATTATCCATTATAAAATTGATAGGTTTTTTAATATCAGTTCTAAGAATAATTTTTACAGTGAAAATTTATTGAAATCTTCCAAATTTCACAAATATGCAATTAATTAATAATTTTTTTTAAAAAGTAAGTTTTTCATATTTAGCACATGTTTTCTGTAGACTTCTATATATGTTTGATACACGTCTTTCTTGATCCTGGGTGCACAAGAACAAAATGATATATTATTTAAAAGATTAATATTAAAACATGAAGATAAATTATTATACATACACACACACACATATATATATATATATATATATATATATATTTTTTTTTTTTTTTTCTAAACAACAAAATAATTTAATAAGGTTTGCCCCTAACATTTTTTGTGTATGTTCCTTCTAGGAAAAGAAATATTATACACTTATACACTTATTAAGATTAGGAAAAGGAAAACTCCAAAACTCCCGCATTAACTCAGAAATATAACATGATTATGCTAGCTTATATGCAAACTTACTAATATTTATAATTTCATCTTTAAAAGGATCACATTAAAATAACTTTTATAATCCTAATTAATATATATTTAAATGAATTATATTTTTTATGTGAGTGTATCTATTATTACATTGAATAAAATTTCACCACTAGTAAACATATTTATTATCGTTAATTTTCAATTATATTTTATGTACAATTAAATTTGAAAAGATATACCTAATTTTAAAATCAACATCAAGTCAAATCATATAAATCAAAACTATTTTCTTATAGAAATATGGATTTCGACTTATCCAATTATTTGAATTAGAATCTATAAAAACTCAATCTAGCTTTTTTTAGAAAATACAGATTTAAATTTAGTTTCAATCCAATTTATTTCTAAACCCATTTTGTGAATTTTTTGCCTACAGAGTATTAGCTGAAGGGCAAGAGGGCAACAATAGAAAACACTCCTGAGCACAAAATTTAGAAAAACCGAAAATCAAAAGAGAAAAATTTCATAATGGCCGGCATTCCGTATATTAGTTACAAGGACACCTTGAATGATTTTATAATATAGAAAAACTTGTAATTGACATGGGATTGATCTTGTTTTGGGCATACCACTTAGTTCATTTCCAAAATACAGAACACTCTTGAACCTCTTGACAAAGGGAAGGAGTCACAAAAAGAAAAAAAGGTTATACAGAGCTACACGCAAAAAAAATAAAAAATAAAGCAAGGATAAACAGTAATGTCTGTTCCAAAACGGCAATAACTTCATTTACCACCTTCACTTGCTTTCAAAAGATCTGCAAGTTCAGATGATAGTCAATTCAAAATCATCCACAACAACGAATCAGTACATTATACTACTTTATATGGTCAACACTAGGGTTAAAAAAGTTCAAAACCAAGTTATTGATTTCTGTTGAGGGTTTGGGCTTTCAGCAAAACTAAAACGGAGGAGAATAATGTCTGGAAAAAGACTCATTAATCAAATGTTGTGAACTAGAAATAATGTCAACAGAGATGTACCAAAGTGTGACCTGCTTCCATCAGAGAAAAATAAGTGAATTTGAAAAGTCAGACCGTTGGATTCTGGAATTATCTACCTTAAAGGAAGGAGAATCAATTCCTTGGGGGATGGAGTGATGAACTTGCCTAACTAACATCTTCCTGAATGATTGCAAGAGAAGTTGTAAAAAGAGAAATAAAACAAATAACCAGAAGAGAAGTTCGATTCTTTCCTTTTTCTTCTTCTACTAGTAGCTATATAGTATTGAGGGGAGGTTAGTGACTTAAGAAAAAAATAAGGAGGCTAGCTAGTGACATTTAAACAAATATCAAGGAGGTTAATATGATCAGTCCAAGAGATTATGAGCAGAAAACTACACTTCGTAAAGAGCATATATGCATTAGCAATTTTAGAAGTATCACAACATAAATTGCACCTTTGAAGGATAAGCACCAAAGGAGCAGAGGCAAATTTGCATGACATTGCATTAGACAGTCAACACAAAAACAAAACGCTTCATTCCATCATCCCCATCCAAGCCTGGATGAGAATGAATGTTCCTGCCATGCCAAATTGCAAACCCAAACTGAACATACTGTCAACACTAGCACCACATATTCTCCATCAGAGTTAACAAAAGTTGCTACATGTTGCTAGAATTAAAAGAGGCTACGATCCCCGGTGCATGAAATGGCCTCCCATATAAACAACAGGATCAAAGATTATAATAAAACCTCCATGTACAATTAATCAGGACCACAAACTTACAAAATCAGACCAGTACTGCGTTTCGTGCAAGGTAGTTTGGTCTATTTGTTCAAATTTTTTATAAAGAAATATTCTTTAATAGCATAGTTACTTATCAGCAAAATTTTACATATTGGGCTAAACTTGTTTTGAAAAAGCAAAAGTAATTTCCCGCTTTCTCTTCTTATGTAATAACATTTTTCAGCACAAACAAACAGACCCAGCAATAAAAACGGTAAATGTCTGTACTTTGGAGTTAGAGAGAACAGGCAATGGACTGTGCAGAAAGTTTTCACAACACTTAGCAAAAGAAGACTATGCCACATACACCAAAATTACAATAATCCACAAAAGGTATGATACATAGAGTACCAAAGGACCAATAAACGATACCTAACACAATGAATCCTAATTGTTGGATGACTGTAGGGCTTCAGATACCAACTTAATCTGCTCCCCAATCAGTAGAGAGCGATTCGCAAGCAGCTCCATCTCAGAATATTGCAACACTTTCCACCTTCTCTCCAATTCCTTCCTCTTGGATTCTCCAATCAAAGTAAGTCCTCTCTTCATCTCATCCTCATCCAGCTCTTTAAAACAAGAAATACTGCTGTAAAGCAAACTCACGTCACCACTTTCAGGCGCCGGCAACGCCAGCAGCGGCGCTGATGGCTGCGACGGAACTTTGTCCTCGGCTTTTGATTCCTTCTTTTGAGTCTTGGTAACGTATTTCGCAAGAGGCTTGGGCTTTTCCACCAGTCCGTTGGGCCATTCACCCCAAATCTTCTTGGATAATTCATACACGGCCCGGTCGTGAGGCCTCAACAACCGAGGCCAAATCCCTTTCTTCTTTTTCGCCTCACTAGTCTCGAACTTCTTCTTCATCCGTCGAATCTTCTCCTTCAGCTGATGGCTGGAAACCTCCACGTGGAGTGACTTCTTAATGAACTTGTGGAAAGCGTGGCATACCTATAAGGCTCTTGTCCGGTCTTTGAGATGAACTCAAGTATGCCCTTAAGAATGCCGAGCTCGTCTTCTTCGCTCCAGATCCTCTGGAACAACACCCTCGCTTGCCCGCCGGACTTCTTCCCGTCCTCCTCTGTCTCGTCGTTAGCAACGGAGGGAGAAGGAGCCTCAACTGGTTTCTTTTTCGCGCGTTTCTGCTCAGTTACGTGGGCGGGGCGCTTGGATCCCGGTTTCACCGGCGTGGAGGAACGCTGGGCTTGGACCTTGGGCTGGGGTAGGTCCGTGGGCTTGGGTTTGGGTTTGACTCGAGCTGGTTCCGAGTCAGTGTCGGGTTCGGATTCAGATGAGTAGGACTTGGGGTGAGGCTTGGAGGGATGGTTTATAGAAGCAGGGAGAGTGGAAAGTTTCTTCTCGTCTTCTTCTTCTGAAGAATCGTCTTCCTCCTCAGAGGAAGAAACCTGTGGTGCTGCTGCATGCTGTTGAGAAGAATGCGGTCGGTCATCATCTTCCTCAGATTCGGAGGAGGAAGCAGTTGAAGGATCTTCCACCGGTGCAGGGCGCTGCTTCGACTTCTTTGTCATGGTCGAAAATTTGGGAATTTAGGGTTAGCGGGGAGTGACAGTGAGAGAGAACTCAACACAGAAAAGTGGACAGGTTATACACACGGGAACAAGAGAACCAACACAAAACATATAATAAAATTAATTCTTTTTATAAATAATAAAAATAAGATTAAATATTATTATTTCTTTACCTAAAACTTTTTAGTTATTACTTCCTGGTTTTTCTTTGTTTTTGTTGTTTTATATCATTATTACATGTTCCATTTTCTTGTTTTTTTTTTTCATTTTTGTTCTACTTATTTTGCTTTCATTATTTATTTTACCGCTTTTGTGATTTTTTGGAATTTTGTTTTATGCAAATGATTTTACATTGCTTACTTCTTTTAAATGTTTGTCTATTTCTATGAGCTTATGAGTACTTTTATTTGAAACACTATATATCTAAAAATTTATTTTAGAACTAAATTAAATTAAATAAGAATAAATTGTTTTATATTAATTTAATTGAACATATTGATAAAAAGGTATAGATATATTACTTTTATTTATTGGGATATAAAATTTGCTTCCGCTCATAAAATAAATTTATTATAAATCACAAAGATAGTATCTGATAAGTTTGTTATTTTATGTATAATTATATTTTAATTTTATATATAACAATCCAATTATGGTATTTTATCCAAATTGTAATAAAAGATAATTTAGGTAGTTCTATAACATGAATATAAATAAAATCTACAAGGTAATGTATTATCATTTTACTATGAATTAAAATATCATAAGTATTTTAAAAAGACAGGAGTTGAGATCAAAACCTATACATTAAAATATAAGTTTAAGTTTTGACTATATAAAATTGGCTTAATACCAATTTTGGTTCCAATTTTTGTCAGTTTTATTCGAAATGGTCCTAATTTCTTTTTTACGTTCAATATAATCCTAAATATCGTAATTTGTGTCTAATTTAGTCCTTTTTGTAAACATCGTTTAAATAGTTAATAGTCAAATGTCCAATTGTGCAATCCGTAAATGACATGTCATTTAACTACTAGAGTGGACAATTTAAGGCGTAGTGAGGTGGATGTGGCCAATGAGGCCTTCTCATGTGTCAGCCCCTTACCCACCCAAAATTAGGGTTTTAGATTAGGGAAAGGGATCTCATACGCCTCTTCTCTGTTCTTCCTTGCGGTGCGAATTAGGGATGGATTTGCAGGTATGTGAAGAAGCTTGGTGGTGCTATGACTAGCGAGATGGTGGAGAGGTTGATGACGGTGATCATTGTGCTTGCACATGGTGTCGTGACATGGTTGCGATTGAATGGAGAAGATGAAGATGTTTTGATGGCGATGATTGGAGGCGCGATGTTGATGCTTCTCGCGTGATCGCAATTTTGTGTGCAGGTTTTGAACTGGTTTTGCGACTCTACAATTTTTTAGGGTTCGCATGGTGGTGGCGGCACTAAGGTCTTGCGGTGTTGATGGCGGCGACGACTTGAGGCATTGGTGGCAAGGTAGGCGTTGCTTGTGTTGCGAATAAGAAGTGGCTTATCATTGCTGTCGTTGGGTCGCGTTTCTGGGTTCTTCTCTGCAGGTGCGTGTTGATGGTGGTGAGGTAGTGTCGCGGCGGTGCTCCGCAATGAAGGGAGAGTGGTGGTGTATTTGGGCTTCATGGCGACGGGTCGAGTGGGGTTTGATGGTGGTGAGGTGTTGTCAACGTCAGCAGTTAAATGACATGTCATTAACTGATTGTAGAGTTGGACATTTGGTCGTTAACTATTTAAACGACATTTGCAAAAAAGACTAAATTAAACACAAATTACGATCTTTAGGATTACATTGAACGTAAAAAAAGTTACCATTTTGAATAAAGCTGACAAAATTTGGGACCAAAATTGGTATTAAGCCTATAAAATTTAACTGCATATCTTAGTTTCTCTCTCAAACCAGCTCAACTACTTCTCTATCACACTTACATTATCATTTGTTTACGTGGATTATTAAGATCTTGACAGACAAATAATAATATCATATGCTAAAATACATAAGTAAGCTATAGGAATTTAAAACTTAAAAGTTTTAAATAAAGGGATAACAATCTTATAAATTCATAAATTTGGTTATATACAAATAATGTCAAACAATCTATCATCCATATTCATGTTATCAAATTTTTAGGAATCATTTAATATATATTATTGATATAATCTCTAGAGGACTGATGTTTTGACTAACACTCAAAATTTGACATTTATCATTACTCAATCATTCTAGCTTACAAGAATTATAATTTATTATATGTTTGGGTTTTTCCAAATCCATAAAGTATGACAGAATGAATTCTATACTTGTCGAGCTCAACTTTCGTTGGAACAAGAACTTCCCTCGACTCTCACCTTTAACATTTTTCATCTATTTGATTCCAAAGGTTAATAGAGTCGGGATAATCTCAATTCAGTCCCTATCGTCAATACATCCAATACAAACCGCATGATAGTATATCCTCATTAGGAATAACTAACTCCAATATATTTTCACACAATTATCTGTCATCTATGTGGATTTAATATTATTATATCAAGCATAGTCCACAAAGGGCAGTACATACAAACATTCCAACATTGTCCGTTCTAAGGGCTCACTTGCAAGTGAGCACCCAACAATGTTATCCTAGCATGCAATGTTGAAGACCATTAAAGCTCATTGAAAAAGTGAGCACCCAACAATGTTATCCTAGCGTGCAATGTTGAAGACCATTGAAGCTCACTGAAATAGAACCACTCATAATGTAGACAATGCCTAATGTTACACACCTTTGAAGCTCATTATGAATTGGCGCCCAACGGTACAATGTGACGCCAAACGCTTTGATGCTTGGAACTCCCTAACCTAGTTTGTTTATGAGTCAATGCCTGATGTTCCCTGTTTGTCGCTTGACGCTACACTAGAAACCATCAAATGTAGGAAATTTGTGTTTTGTTCACTTGGGGGAGAGTGAGTGAATGGATTTGAGGGTGAATTAATTGTTGTTTATTTGAGTGGATTTAGAGGTAAATGAGAGTGGATTTGGGAGTAAAGTTTATGAGAATTAGTGTAGGATTTGATTGATGTGACAGATAAAAAAAATTTGTTTAATTGGTAAAAATTGAAGATTACCAAAATGCCCCTAGTTATTAATGTATAGAGCTGTCAAAATGGGTCACAACCCGCGGGCCAACCCGGCCCACCACGGGTTTGAGCCGAGTTGGGTTTGAAAAAATTGAATTTTTTTATGCAGGTCAGATTTTAACCCAGCTCATGCGGGTTGAACCTGTGGTGGGCCGAGTTGGCCCACCAACCCACCTACCTAATTTTATTTTATTAAAATTTAATTTTAATTTTATAAAAAAATATTTATTATTTTGGTTTTGCTTGAAAAAATTATTTAAGTTCCTTATTTTCAAAATTAATTAAACACCCATGTTCGGAATGAAATTTGGGAGTGAAATGTGTTTATATTTGAATTATAGAATGTTTGTAATTTTTTTTATTTAACAAAAATTGTAACAAGTGAGCCAGTGAGCCAACCCGTTTACCCACCAACCTGTGGTAGGTCGGGCCGGGTTCGAATTTTTCTGGGTTGGTAATAAATGAGCCAGGTTGGGTTAGCTCACTAAGTGACCAACCCGTGGTGGGTCGGGTCGGGCTGGGTGACCCGTTTTGACAGCTCTATTAATGTAATATAAAATGATAATTGTTAATGTTATATTTAATTGTAAAATAGTTTATAAAGAATAAAAGATTAACATTAATTATTAAAATTAATTTTAAAAATGTAAATAAATTATAATTTAGTAAAATGAAATTATTTTAAAATTTAATATTTTTTGTAATATANACCTAATTTTATTTTATTAAAATTTAATTTTAATTTTATAAAAAAATATTTATTATTTTGGTTTTGCTTGAAAAAATTATTTAAGTTCCTTATTTTCAAAATTAATTAAACACCCATGTTCGGAATGAAATTTGGGAGTGAAATGTGTTTATATTTGAATTATAGAATGTTTGTAATTTTTTTTATTTAACAAAAATTGTAACAAGTGAGCCAGTGAGCCAACCCGTTTACCCACCAACCTGTGGTAGGTCGGGCCGGGTTCGAATTTTTCTGGGTTGGTAATAAATGAGCCAGGTTGGGTTAGCTCACTAAGTGACCAACCCGTGGTGGGTCGGGTCGGGCTGGGTGACCCGTTTTGACAGCTCTATTAATGTAATATAAAATGATAATTGTTAATGTTATATTTAATTGTAAAATAGTTTATAAAGAATAAAAGATTAACATTAATTATTAAAATTAATTTTAAAAATGTAAATAAATTATAATTTAGTAAAATGAAATTATTTTAAAATTTAATATTTTTTGTAATATAATTTACTACCAAGTATTTGATAATAGTTAATATTATATATAATTGTAGAAATTATTATAAGAAAAAAAGAAAAATAAAAAATAATTTTTAAGATGAAGATAAATTGTATTATTATTATTATTATTATTATTATTATTATTATTATTATTATTATTATTATTGACATGTGGGACCCACTTTGATGGGAAGAAAGAGAAAACTGAGGAGAGCTTTTGCATAGTTTATGTTTAAGAGAAAGAGAACCTATTTCTTTCATTTTTCAAGGAAATAGAATGTGCATAGGAACATTTTTCTTTTATTTTTCATAGGGAAAACACTTCTTTTAGTAGTGCTTCCATTACAGTGAATGTGCAGGCTTCTAGCAGTGCTTCCATTACAACGCGCACCACCTCCATAAACTCCTTCACGTTGAGATAAACGTCAACCACCTTGACAAAGTGTTCTCCCTGTTCAAAGTTGCATCAGATCCACCATAAATCCACCATAAATCCACCACAAACAACCTGCTGAATGGACTCTCGCTACCATTAACAACGTCTCTCACCGCTGCACAAGGTCATCATCAAGCTTTCAAAGCCCATGTAACACAATCCAAACTTGTGGAATGGGTTAACCCGTTGCTGGAACTGAATACGGTCTTCTTGGAATCGAATACGTAACTCTGAAACTGAAGAGGATGTAGTCAAATACATT